TTACCAAAGCCACGGAGCCCCATTTTTAGGCTCTATCTCCTCGGCCCCGGCTCCGTTGTGGACTCAAAATACATTCCGTGAAAGCTGTGTCCAGTAGGATTACAACAAACTTGGTTTGAGGTCGATCCGAGCTTTCTACGCCGAGTTAGACGTGTTGTCCCAAATAAANGTTATGGAGGAAAACGTGGATTACCAAAGCCACGGAGCCCCATTTTTAGGCTCTATCTCCTCGGCCCCGGCTCCGTTGTGGACTCAAAATACATTCCGTGAAAGCTGTGTCCAGTAGGATTACAACAAACTTGGTTTGAGGTCGATCCGAGCTTTCTACGCCGAGTTAGACGTGCTGTCCCAAATAAAAATTTGGGACAACGTTGTCCCACATAGCCGTGCCGTTTTATTTATGGCAGATAAGGTATATCATACCGCTGAGCCCCCTTTTGAGCATATCTCCGCAACCACTCATCGGATTTGACCGTCGATTGGCTTGTATGTTTGGTGTGGGTCATAGCTACACAACGCAATTTATTTTGTGCCAATTGAAGCTCTGTGGACTGAGATACGGGCGGTGACGTATATAAGAAATAACGTCACCGGTGGATTTGACCGTCGAAAGGCTTGTATGATTGGTGTGGGTCATACAGTAGCTACACAACGCAATTTATTTTGTGCCAATTGAAGCTCTGTGGACTGANTTGGCTTGTATGTTTGGTGTGGGTCATAGCTACACAACGCAATTTATTTTGTGCCAATTGAAGCTCTGTGGACTGAGATACGGGCGGTGACGTATATAAGAAATAACGCCACCGGTGGATTTGACCGTCGAAAGGCTTGTATGATTGGTGTGGGTCATACAGTAGCTACACAACGCAATTTATTTTGTGCCAATTGAAGCTCTGTGGACTGAGATACGGGCGGTGACGTATATAAGAAATAACGTCACCGGTGACGTAAATAGAATTATTATCCATTTGATAATCAAAAGTTATACATACGTCCAAAAACGTTCCAGTGCGGGCTACTCAGGGAACTAACTCTGCCAGGCTGGCAGGATCCGAGGCGCACCCATTTAGGTGTCTGCCTTCTGGGAGAAAGTCATGATTGCAGATGCGGTAGCAAGGGCTACGGATGGCCTAGCAGAAGGTGGCCAACGCTGTAGCGTGCGCGCGTGCACGCACGTTTGCGATTTTCCTACGTCGATTGGTCGTTGATGGTTAACCTTAGTTAGGCCTTATTTCGCTTCCCATTCCCCAACTCCAGATGTTCAAAGCCGCCATTCCCAGGTACAGAGGGCAAAATTGCTGTAGGATCACGCCACTGCAAGCGGCACCTTCGCCCGCCTTCGAGTTTCTCCAAGTAATAGCTTGATAATCTGCACAGATACGAAGGGACAGGAAAGGTATTTGTGTGGTGAACGCGTTGGGAACGGAACACGTTGGAAACGGATCACAAAAGGAGAGGCTGCACTTGTAGTCTCCCGAACGCTGAGGTGAGCAGCTACAACAGCAGTGGCACCTATTGTACAGAAGCGCTGGGCAGCGAAAGCGCATGAGGCAGCCAAAAAAAAAAGAAGGGAAATGGACAAAAGTGGGTATACCCACCCCTTTCTCGGACAAA